CTGCCCTGGACTGGCTGGAGGCCTCCACTAGGGGAGAGGTATATAAATCCTGAAGAGGTATATAAAGCCATACCCCCTGCTGACAGGCTCCTCCTGACATGCTCTGTGTGTGTTCCTTTTGCAGAACATGTGGATCGAGAGAACCATATACACAACAGCGTATAAACTGCCTGGAATTCTAAGGTGGTTTGAGGTCAAGTCTGTTTTCATGGTAAGGACTCCCCCAGGAGGAATCATCCGTTCCCCTCTCTGGCAGGGTCTAACACACCCTCCTCACCTGTGAGAGCCACGGGCCCATTGAGCCAGCCTGCACCCACAGGCCCTGCTTGTTCCCCCAGAGAATTAAAATCTCCTCACCCACCTCCAGTATTTTTGTGGAAAAGCTATGTAATCACCCCCAGTGCCAGCTGATAAGAAAACCAGGACTAAGATTGCATTTCTGCTCAGACATTATTTAATTTCAGTCACAGGTTTGCTGTTTTGACAGTTCTTTCCCTGAACTAAATGAAAAGTTTAAAACAAGTTCCAATTTACATAAACTTTTTACAAAATCTTTCTTCCTGATGGTTTTATTGCCATTTACATGACAAATAACTTAATTAATAGTACTTTTTTATTCCAAGTAAAAATAGCCTGAAAAATATACTCCTCCCTGGCATTTTTAAAAGAAATGATGGTTCCCATCTCATTAGCTAAACTTTGCCTTGCTAAGGGACAGTTTCATTTATATGAGACTCATATTGACGGTGAGCTATGGGACAGTTTCATTTACATGAAGCAGAGCTGGGCAGCACATTTATTGACTGTATCAAAATGTCAGGGCTAAGGCGATTGCCAGTATAAAAAAATCTGATTGAAATATGTTTTTGTTCCTCTGTCTTCATCGGGCATAATCCTGCCCAGAGAGATGATGCTTGCCATTTAGTTGACAGTCCCCTGAAGCCCCTGCTTATTTGGCTCTAGGACTTGGCTGGCACCTTTCTCCCCAACCCTTGTGACCACCTTGTCCTTTGCTGGTGCCATTATGAACTCAGTGCCCTTCCAGGAGCATCTCCTTGCTCTGGTACACCCCCCAACCCCACAAGACCACCAGGTCAGAGTCCCTTCCTTGTGCTGCTGAACTCCAATACTCTGCCAGCCCCTCCCTGGGGCATTTTCACCTTCTGCCCTCACACCTCCCGTTCTGTGTCCCCAGAGCCCTCAGGAGCATGGAAGGCTGTCAGGAGTTAGATGTCAGGTGACAAAACTTCAGTCCCTTCTGTTGAGCAGGTGAGAACCTGTGAGACACAGGCAAGCAAGACCTTCACATTAATCCTTATCATGAGCCTCTGCCTGTAAGCTCTTTGTTACTGAGATTCTGGGAGCCTGCTTGACATGGAGCTTAATGTCTGAGAGGTAGAAAACCTTTGTGAGGATGTAGCCCCTCCTCAGGCTGTGCTGGCTGCTTTTAACAGACTAAGAGACCTGGAAGCCAAATCATCCCAGAATGGCCTGACTGAAATCCTGCTATCAGATCCCCTTGCTATTCCTCCTGGAATAGATTCCATATCTATGGGGCACCCACTAGCCCCATCTGCTTGATAAAAACAGGAAGCCATTCTTGAAGCAAATATGCCCAGGGACAAGGAATGAGCTGCCAGTTAAATGGAATCCTACCCTGGAATGTCCACTTGAAGTTGCATGCCTGGGGAGGGGCGTTCCAGGGTCTGATGAAGGGAGGTGTAAATGACAAGATTGCTCCTGGATGAACATGAGGCAAGGGGACACCTTCAGCAGTGTGCACTCAGTTGCCTGTGTTTTATATATTACAGCCTCCCTGTGGCTGTCCCTACATCAGTTCACAGATGGCCACATCGGCCTCTGTTAACCATTTCCTCCCCAGCCATCAAGCACATTGGTCATAGGAATTGGCAGCTCACAATTGTCCCTTTTCTGTCCACTGCTCCCCACTTTCCTGTGACCTCTTGCACCTCTCAGAGAATCCCCTAGAGGCTGCTGCAAGAATAAAGCGGTGACTTTGCTTTGCCATTTTCTGGGGCTACCTGGGGTACCCGGACATGGGCAGGACCCTATTATACTTTGTTTTGGGGGGACCAGAATTATTGTTGAGGTCTTCCTGGACATGGTCCATAGAGCTCAGCCTGGAGAGAGGTGTTGAGTCTGCTAGAGCCAGTTCTGGCAGGAGGCGTGGTCCATGCTTCACTCTCAGCATTTCTCTCACGATACGTTAGAGCTGAGCCAGACGGGACTTGAGGGGCCCCCAGAGAAGGACAGAAGTGCAAGAGAGGTATATAAGTCAAGCCTAAGAGGAAGAGTGGCCAGGCCCTTTCCTCCAGTGTTCTCAGTGGGTTTGCACTTGAGGCTGCATGGGCAGGTCGGAGACAGCAAGCGCTCATCCTGACATGGGAATGTTCTAATCAGCAGGCTTCTCGCTCCTCAAACTTCTTAGCCCTTTTCACATACCTCCAGATTCCTTAAAATTTAACCCTCTATGGCCAGGGATTTAGCTCAGTGGTTCCGCCACCTGCCTCGCAAGTGCAAGGATCCGAGTTGAATTCCTGGTACCAAAAAAACAAAATTTAACCCTCTATAAAACAAGCAGAGAACAGGAACTTGGTTGGAAGATCTACTTTGGAGAATGGATAGATGGGGCACCACTTTGGGCTACAAGTTTTCCTAGGATGACAATACATATACACATATACACGGTACATACGTAAACACATGCACATGCATGCACACTCATACACTCCTATCAAGAGCTGAGAAGTCCTGCTTTGTTTATTGGGAATATTCTCATGAGGCTCCATCTATGAGAGCAAACAATGATAATAAAATGCCCCGGTGTCCTTGGCCCACAGGTGACCATGCCCAAGGCCTGTTGGAAGAAAAATGAATGGAAGAGTAGGAAGCTTGTTCTATCATGGCACACTGCTCCTCTGGTGAAACCCCCACAGCAGTGTGGCAATCCCAGGCTAATACGTTGCCACCTTCTTTCCCCTGTAGGTGGAGATCAGTCCCCTGGAGAATGCCATCGAGACCATGCAGCTGACAAACGACAAAATCAACAGCATGGTGCAGCAGCACCTGGACGATCCTGGCCTGCCCATCAACCCCCTGTCCATGCTGCTTAATGGCATTGTGGACCCTGCTGTCATGGGAGGGTTCGCAAATTACGAGAAGGTATGTGAAATACCCATTTTCTCTTTACAGCACCCATCCCCCCAGGATAGGCTGAGAATTCCAGACCCCCAAAATCAATCCTAGTCTACTGAGAAACCTCAGCAGTGATGGTGCCACATCTAGGCAGGAGTCCCAGGACCAGCCTCTGCAGGCCACAGGAAAATCAAGCCCTAATTGAGCGTCCCAGGCCCCAGGCATCCTCAGGTAACCAGGAACCTCCACTGACCAACACATGCTGGGCTACTGAAGCTCTAGTGACCCTTGGGTGGCTTTCAAGAGGCCCAGGTTCATTGAAAGCCAAAAAATTCCATTTTAGAAACAGAGAAAGGAGTTTATAATACGGAAGTGGCATTGATCCAGTACAGGGACCCTGGCCAGTGATCTCCCTGAATAATGGCTCAGCAGGAAAGGGCAGAAGTTGAAGGATATGCATCTAAACTAGACTAGGCATCTACCAACTACAGCCCACTTCTGGTTTTGTAAATGAAGTTTAATGGAAACATGGCCACACCTTTCTCTTTACTTCTCACCTATGGCTTCTTTCCTGATAGAATAACAGCAGGGTTGAGCATTTGGACAGAGGCCTATTTGGTCCACAAGACCTGAAATATTTACCATCTGGCCTTTCACAGAAAAAGGTTGTTGACCCCTGATCTAGACAAGGTAAAATCTGAGAAAGGGCACTGCTGGAGAACGGGCTATAGGGGTGGTTAACTGTCCTTGGAGAAAAAGGCAACAAGCTGTGTGTGTGTGTGTGTGTGTGTGTGTGTGTGTGTGTGTGTGTGTGTGTGCACATGTGGTTGTGTATGTTACTAGGAATTGAACCCAAGGCTTCACACATGCTAAGCAGGCACTCTACCACTAAGCTATATCCCTAGCCCCTTTTTTAGTTTTTCCTTTTGAGACAGGATCTCAAACATGCTGTCTTACTGCCTCAGCCTCCTGAGTGGCTGGATCACAGGTGTGCAGCAGCATGCACAGCTACAGGTGGCGTTCTCTTAATGCTCTGTAGCCTTCAGGTATAGGTCAGGCCTAGGGGAGTTGCAGGGTTGTGGGATGTGGGGCACTAGCAGAACAGAGAGGCTGGACCTGCTGCCACCTGGCAGGACCAAGCAATCCAGTCAGCCATGGCTTCACTGGAAGCTAAGAACTGAGGTAGAGCTGTGAACAGCCACCTTGACTGTCTGTGTGCTCTATTTAGTGTTTGACCTTACCAAACATTTTGCCTGGGTCCAGAGAGTGCCTATTTTATGCATGGCTCTCTCTCCAAGCCCTGGTACACAGTAGACATGCGGAACCCTATGTTGGATGAGCAGGTGCACTGAAAGACTCTCCATATCTCCACAGGCCTTCTTTACAGACCGGTACCTGCAGGAGCACCCTGAGGCCCATGGACAGATCGAGAAGCTCAAGGACCTGATTGCCTGGCAGGTACAGTGTCTGATGGCAGCCTCGCCTATCTGGAGGAAAGGGGGAACTGAGTCTAGACCCAGATCTGTTTGAGCCTCTTCACACGCATGCCTGCCACCATGAAGTCTGTGGGACCAAGGTCAGAGTGCGCCTGACTGTGTATACCCCTTGGCAAGCCCCCGTCCCCACTGCTGTAATAGACTTAACTCCTGGCTGCTGTTATAAACTCAAGCACCTAGAAAATACTCTCTTGCAAAGATCAAGGACTCTTTCTCTCCTCAGTCAGTTATCCTGACTGCTGAAAAATCTGTCTGATAGGGATAGAACAAAAGAACATGGAGGTTAGCTAAAGCCAAGAAGCCCTTAGCCCCAGCCTGCCCCAGGAATGGTGCCTGAGCACTGCTGACCTTGAGAAGTACATAGGTTGGAAGCTGCAGCGTGCCTTCCCCCACGGCTCTAGGAAGGCTCTGGGGGTGGTGTGCGTCCTCATTGGTGTTTTCACAGCTGGGATTCTGCGTGTTGTTTTGCCTCTCCTCTTGTTCCTGCGGCCTGGTGAGGGCCGTCATCTGATAGGGTGGGTGGTACCTCTTGGGCTCAGTGATACGGAGCCGCCCTCTCCAGTTCTCATAGGGCCTCTCCCCTGCACTCGCTCTGCTACTGCGTGCAGCTTACTTCTTTAGGCCTCATTTTCACACACAGAGGGTAAGGAGGATGCTGTCCTCACAATTTTCACCCTGTATACCAAGCTGAGCAAGGTAGGGGTGAGGGCCTCCCCTTGGTTGGGCTAGGCATTGCGCCCCAGGCCACATTGCTGAGCCAGAGACCCAGATTCCCAGTTGGAACCTGAAGACTCTGTGCAGCTTATCTTGCCTAGTCAGGAGATGTCCTCTGCTGGGTCACGTCTGTGGGCATTTTTATTCTGCCCATCCTAGTGGCACCTCATCTTCATGGCTTCTCTCTCTTATCGGCACATTAGCCATAAGGCCACTTAGCATAGCAAGGCTGAGCTTCAGTTTTAAGCCAAGTTCCTCCCAATTTGCATTTTGATGTACAAGGTGGAAGTACTTACTTTATGTGATATGTGTATTATATATAATTGTGATAAAATATACATAACATAAAATTTACCACTGTAAGCATTCTTTAGTGTACACTTGAGTGGTATTAAGTATATTCTTATAATTGTACAGCCGTCACTATCATCCAGCTGTGGATCTTTTTCATGTTGCAAAATCAAGCTATACCCATCAAACAATTCACCATTCACCACTCCCTCCAGTCCCTGGCCACCACCAATCTATTTTTTTTCTCTGTGAATATGATTACTATAGGAACCTCTCATAAATGATATCATACATTATTTATTCTTTTGTATCTGGTTTTTCTCACTCAGCATGATGAGTTCAAGGTTTAACCAAGTTAAAGCATGTTTCAATATTTCCTTTTTAAAAGCTAAGTAATATTTCATCATATGTGTAGACCACATTTTCTTTATCTGTTCATCTGTTGATGGACATCTAGATTATTTCCTTGTGGTTAGTGTGAATAATGTTGCTAAGAACGTGAATATACAAATATCTGTTTAAGTCCCTGCTTTCAATATATGCCAAATACTAGAATTCTTGGATCATATAAAATTGTTTGATTCTTTCATTACTGCCAAAGTTTTCTACAGTGACTGTATTATTTTATGTTCCTATGAGTATAATGCATGCTTCCAGTTTTTCCAGATCCTCACTAAGACTTGTTATTTTCTTTTTTTCTATGTTTATAATATCCACTCTGCAGGTTTTTATACTTTTAACAGAATTACTTTTAACAGGAAATACTTAGATTCTGCCATAAATCTATGTGCACTTGAAGTTTGTTTGCCCTGAAGTTGTTTTGTGATAGAATCCCTGCAAATGGAAAAGAGCTTTGTTGGCCAGCAGTGATTTCTTTGCACAGAATGTAAGCCCCATGTTGGCAGTCTCCCTGTTTCTCAAAAAGTGAGAGAGAGAGTTGACATTTTGAATGATGCTATAGAAACTAAAGGGTACAAAATTCAAAACTCTTCTGAATGCTATAACACAAAATGTAGTTTGGCCTGCAAAAGTTCTATTGATTTTTTTTTCCCTCGTAAGCTTTTATAGCAAATTGGATTTTAAGAGTTTCAAGTCCTACAGAGGAAAATAATTTGTTCCCTGGAGAGCAACTTTATGTCAGCACTATGTCATCACCCCTAATAACTATATTAAGGGTAAATTTTAAAGCAGCTCACAGGAAAGTTGAAAGAATCAGTTTTGTAGCCACTTCATTAAATCAAAGAGTGAGAAAAATGCATATTTAAAACATTACCTGTGATTTTCCTTTCATTTGCAAATGTTTTGAAACCTACATCTTAATATCAGTAAGTGAGCCTTGCATTCATTAAAGTTAAGAAATTTGGGGTTATCAGAATACTTCGTTCTGTTTTTGTTTGTTAGTTTGCTTGGTTTTGTTTTTCCCTTGAAACTCTCATGGCAGAGTTTTACCCCTGGGAGTCCCAGGACTCATCTGCAGAGTTCGCATCGCCAGTATAACAGTGAGCGTATCTGCAGGGCCCACAGTTGTTGGTGGAGGATGGCTAATCAGTTGCAGGAAGCTCCTCAGCTCTGCTTCTGCTTTCTGAAATGAAAGATGGTGCCAACCCGGCCCTCTGCAGGTGGGAGACTGGGTGGGATGCAGGCTCCCTAAAGCCGCTACTAGGTTTGCAGCTGACACCCAGTCATGAGCCACTTGCTCAAAGGCTTTATCTTCCTCCCAGACTTACCTGTCACCATTGAGTACTCCTGCCAAGTGTCCAAAGGTGAATCTAGCCAGTCTCATATTAAACTACTGTGATGTGTGTATATTTCTCCTTTGAAATGTGCAAAGATGAAAGACTGAATTCATTCACTAGACCCAGCTGACAACAGGCATCACCCTTTTGGTCAGGCCCAGCATTCCTGGCATACTGAGCTGGGCTTCCGAATGCTTTGTGCTCCTGGCAGGGCTTGGCTCTGGGCAAGAAACAGACTGGGGCAAATTTCAAATGCAGCACCACCCATTGGGAAGGCACTGTTTGGGAACAGGCTGCAGGCTCACTTTGAACAACTGGAGATGTGACTTTGAGGAAATCCTCTCCCCTTTTTGGGCTCTGGGAAACTGTTTAGGAATGCAGATTCCAGGGCCTGCCTACAGCAAATCATGGCTCTGGGGGAGGAGTGCAGAAACCTGCCCAAGAGATTTTGGTGCTCAGCCAGGTTGGGACCCATCTCAGGCCATAGATCTGTGGCTTTTCCTTGTGTCCTAAGCACCTCATACACTGGGGTGTATTTACATAGGACATCTTGTTATCTTCTTCCATTTAGAATATAGATGTACTCCAGCTCCAAATAGACATAAAACTGGAGACCAGATCCTACCGTATAAGAAAATGTTATCCACTTAATGCCAGGGATCATTGAGAGTGATGAATTCTTAATGTCATAGTCCAGATTGGGATTCAGGGAGTACCAGTGTCTTAAACTGAGTGGTCTCAGCTCACATCTGGTAGCTTTTTCGATTTCAAGAATCTGGCCAATTAAGAGTTTTTATCACACCACCACCACTAACAAAAACCTCCAACTTGATTAGATTGCATTTTACACATCTGAGAAAAGCCATTCTAAACCAGACATGTTTTAGTACCTAGGGTGGCTGTACTTTAACCTTGAGAAAGCATTCCCAGACGTACTTGCCTTCGCACCCAGATAGATGCAACACATTTACCATGCCACCATGTTGTCCAGCATGCCTTTGTCATCCTCTAAGGCAGACCTCAGGAAGCAAAAGCATTACAGTGAACATCTTCTACTGCTGGGCAGAATAAACTGTGGCTGGCCCCAGGGAAGCTGCCATCTGCCTAAGAAGTTTCTGTGGAATATTAAAGCATCCCATTTATTTTGAAATCTCACCTGCACTGTCCTTTTGGTAGAAACTGGCTAGAAAGGGATAACTGACATGTGCCTTGGGTCTAGGCCCAGCTGTCAGCAAAACAAACTCTTGTACCAGTGCAGCCTCAGAGGAACTAGGGGGAGGGGGGGCTGTCTGTGAGCATGGTGGTGCTCACTTATTGTGCCCTTTCCTGGAGTACCAAGAGAGGCAGCAGCTGCGTGCTATAAATGGCAACCAAATACATTTTGTGCGTTGATTCATCTTGATAAGATGTCTTGAATTTGTTCACATGAAATTCAATTGTGTACTTATTATCCCTCTCACTAATAAATCTGTTCATTCAGATTGGTATTTCATCCTCTTAGGAAACTCTGTTTTTAATCAGTATTTTGATTTAATTATAAATTATTAAGAGGAAGCCTCTTAGCTTGATTGCACTGAAGAATGTCTAACTCCCAGTCCAGGCACTGGAGGGAAGCTGAGGCCAGGGACAGAAAGGTAACCTGTTCCTGCACCCACCCCCAACAGCAGCAACTCTGGGCGGAGGTCTCTGCAGCTGGGAGGACAAAAATGTCTCTTATGACACTCTTAAAGGTCAGCGTCGTCTCCACTCTCGGAAGTGAAGTGTTGGCATGGATATCTTGTGACAGCAGTGTCTGTGGAGAAATGATTATTTTTAGTTTTAAGGAAGAATAAATTTAGTTTTCCTTCCCAAATAAAAATATCCTTCAGGACTGTAGATCACATATAATTAGATTTTTGTGTTTTGGAGGAGGGTTCTCAGTTGTCAGTAAAGACAATATTCTTAGCTAAAAAATGTTTGCACTATGACATGACCCTTTCCTAGCAGAACAAGTTATATCTACAATTCAAAACATAGCTCTTTCCACAGGTAAGTCTGTTCTGAGACTGATGGACCAACACACATCGGCCAAAGTAGTGTGATATTCCTTGTTTGAAGAAACCCACCCTGGACATATCTAGTTGGGGACACAATGATTTTCATGTAAACAGTCTGGTCTTTGGGGTGATGTGCCTGGTGATGAGTTTAATCAGTCACTTTGATTTGGAAACAGAAGCAGGTGCAGTTTGTACAGTGCTGCTTTCCCACTAGTGTGCATTGCTTTCTCTAGACCATTAACCAAGAAATAAGGAATGTCAACTTCTATGTTTCTCAGATCCCATTTTTGGCTGAAGGGATCAGAATTCATGGAGACAAAGTCACAGAGGCACTGAGGCCATTTCATGAGCGAATGGAAGCCTGTTTCAAGCAACTGAAGGAAAAAGTGGAAAAGCAGTATGGTGTCCGAACCATGGTAAGTGGGCACAGTTGCAAAAGAAGGAGTGTCTGACTCTATAAGGCTCACAGGGCAGAAGAGCCAACATATGCCCATGATACTTGCTTTGGAGGCAAGCTGTAAAGGAGCTCAGCCCCTTTCATCAGTCCATTAGTCAGCCATCAAGCAACTTCCTCTCGGTAAATGGAAATGTTGGCATGAATAAACATTCATGGATTTGCTTGATCACCAAATGCCCCAGTCACCTGCTCTAAACACATTTCCCTTAATATTACACAGCCACGGAGAAGCTTCACAGAGGCCCATGTGACTTGGCTGGTTGACAGAGCCAACACCTACAGGCATACAGCACACACAAAGGGCTAAACAACACTTAGGACAACAGCACTCATGGTGTCCCAGAGCAGAAATAGAGTCCGTGACCAATCTGAGGTCAAAGCCTACAAACTATAGCCTTGAGAGAAGCGACAGATTACTGAGCTTTGAAATTGTTACCAGAGACTCACCTATCCATGGAAATGGGCCAGGCCAAGGAGGGGGTGGGGATTCCAGTGGCAAGCCAGAGGCCAGTGTAGACATGGGCATGTCTTGGGTAGCAGTTAGAAAGAAATCCAGCCTCTAAGAACCACAAACACCAGTGGAGGAATGGGGCAGGGTGCTCATAATGAGGGGCAGGCCTAGGCTTTTGCAATGAATTTATGGAAGATTTCTGGGTTGGAGCTGGGATCAAGAGCATGATAGAAAAGCAGCTTGTGATTTTTAATGACGCCAAATGCCTTATAGTTGAATTCTTATAGATAAGCCCCTGCCAAGCATGGCTGAGCCTCGATATCTCCAAGCCTGGTGCTTATCAGATGAGGGTATCCTTAGTCTCGGGTCCAGCAAGACATGCCCCTAACAGTGACACAGCTGCCCAGCTCTGGTCTGAAAATCCTGCAGGTGAGAATCTGGGACTGACAGCCCAGCGGGAGCCACTGCAAGTAAACAGGCTCAGAAACCAGGGTGCTGTCCTTCGCACTGTGCTGGAGCACCCTCTATACAAGTCAGAATCCTTGAGTAGTACTTGATAGCTTTGGCGCTTACAGCTCATTATAATCAGAGTTGAGTGGCAAGAAGAGTTTCGGAGTGCGTCATAAGGCGGCTCTTTCAAAGTTCCATGCCACTTTTAATTCTTTCTAAGAAATAAACACTTGTGCAGTCTCAAAGTTTCTAAGTGAAAAGCTTCCTGTTTCATCAATCATTAAATGCAAATTTCAGACTCACAGGAAACTGTCAGGCTCACCAGGCATCTTTCATGTCCTTTTCTCTGCTGTGAAGCATTATCTCTGAGCAAGCTTGTTCTAGGGCTTAGGTGCGAAGAGAAAGGAAG